TATGTATATGTATATATATATGCATATAGTAGTGTATATATATATAACATATAGATATATGTGATGTACTGTAGGATTTCTATCTTGAAATCGCAGAAAATCAGATTTCGAACATTGAAATATTGAAACGTTCAATATTTCAATATTTGGATCCAAGATTCCAAGATTTCTAGAAACGTTTTTCTTAAAATCTGGGAACCTTAGATTCCAAATATTGAAATATTGAAAAGTTCAATATTTCGACATTTCGGATTCAAGATTCCAAGATCCAAGACTCCTGGAAACTTTGTTCTTGGAATCTTGGATCCGAAGTATTGAAATATTGAAAAGTTCAATATTTCAATATTTCGGATTCAAGATCCAAGACGCCTGGAACTTTTTTCTTGGAATCTTGGATCTTGGAATCTTGGATCCGAAACATTGGAATATTGAAAAATTCTATATTCCAATATTCGGCTCCAAGATTTCAAGAAAATAGTTTCTGAGAATCTTGGAACCTTGGATCCGAAATATTGGAATATTGAACCGTTCAATATTTCAATATTCGGATCCAGGATTCCAAGAAAAGAATTTCTAGGAATCTTGGAATCTTGGATCCAAACATTGAAATATTTCAAAATTTGCTTTGGAACTTTTCTGTATCATTACGTATTAAGATTATTCATAAATACTAGCTAGCCATAATTTAAAGATTCATTCTCGTAGAAATACATAATATATATATATATGCAGATGTAATAGGTCAGAAGGGCTAGTATACGAATGAGACATTTCTAACAAAAGGTAGGTTTTGGGGGGGCGGGTACCATATATATATATATAGATATATATATATATCTATCTATCTGTCTATCTACAGTGCCAGGCCTGCCAAAATCCTAAGCCCTACATGTCCCTATAAACCCATTGAAGGGTCCCCAAAGCAACCATCCGCTAGGATTTACGATTTAGTTTAGGGTTGTGGGGTGTTAGGGCTTCAGGGTTTAGAGTTCAAAGGCGCTTTGAACAGAAAAAACCTCTGAGTTTGGCACGCTAATGATGCTTGGCAGATCTGAAAGTCGATGAGGTCCACCCTCCTGCGCAAGTTGCAAGTTAGGGTTTAGGGTTTAGGATTTAAGATTTAGGGTTTGGGCCGAGCTCATAAATGGAGTCTTACCCCCATGATGGAGAGTCAACTGGAAAAGAACATGGACAGTGGCGTGATATAAGTTACCACTATAATTTGTCTATTCGAGGTGCCCTATAAAATCTTCATACAAAGAGTCTGGGACCATAATCTAAGCTTGAAACCATGAGTATCCCCCCCCAAAAGGCCTATTAGGGGCCCATACTCCTAAGCTTAGACATAATATAACCCGGGCATAAAGGCAGGGGTCTAGGTGAAGGCTGAAGAGCATGCAAACAAGCTAGCGTGTCCTTTGGGCACTTTGGGCAGGCGTGTCGGCACAGACTCGGGGTGCGTTTGGAGTACTTTGTTTATATAGGGTTATATAGGATTATATAGGGATAATGGAAAAGAAAATGGAAACCCTAGGTCCCTTTAAAGGGATATATAGGGATTATAGGGATTCTATGCTGGATCTGTAGTGATAAGCTGCTTTGAACCCAGCATATCTCCACGAAGAACTATGTATCTGTGGCGGTGTGGCCGAGATGATGCGACATAGATTGCAGGGAATACTCCAATTTGAGCTCGAAACGTTTCTTTGGTAAAAACCCTATGAACAAGCATGAAATGGTTGACCATGTTCTTGAAACCAGAGGAAAACTAAATGGGCGGTATAGCCAAGAGATTGAAGAGTTGCTTGAGTTGGGGATTGTCAAGGTTTTGGATGTGAGTTGAAGCTTGCCAGCAAATTTCCGCACCCTAAATTTCAAAACTCCTGAATGAAAATGAGAGGCATATGAGCTACTGCCTAAACTCCTAGTATCCCCCTTGATAACCCCTAGAGTAGTCCCCTATATAATCCCCTATATAACCCCCCTTTAAGGAGTTTAGACTATAGCTCATATGAGGAATCTGTAGAACCCAGCATGACTTGCCTTGGTGCGTTTAACCTCCAACTGGCAGTATCCAATTCATGAATCAAAAGCATGGGCACTAGGGTTTAGGGTCTGGGGTTTAGGCTCAAATCCATTGCTTAAAGTTAAGACGCCTTCGCCACAGGTGTTGTAGCTTTAGATAGCCGATACTGGGTTGCTGTGAAGGAATTGAAGCTAAGCTACTATAACAAGGAACCCTGTTATTCACGATATACCCATATTATGGTAAATTGAAAGAAGGTTTAACAGCAACCCAGTATAGCCCAGTATAGCCACCTTTTTTCAACATAGTCCAGGCCCGCTTTGGTAGGCCATGAAGCCAGAGATCCCCAGATAAGGAACTTGAAATCCGATATGGACTATAGTCTAGAGTCTAAACTCCTAGTATCCCCCTTAATAACCCCTATACTGGTCCCCTATCTAATCTCCGTATATAATCCCTGTTGCCAATGTTGAAAAGCATGCCGCACAACGCTACCTCCGAATGACAAGCCCTGAAGAAGGATCCGGCCTCGGGACTAGTCATGGCCAACAGTAATGCATCATCCAGCGAAAACCGCCACCGTCAGTCCCACTCTATGATAGGATTCAGCTAGCAGAGAGGCTGATACGTGTAGGTTCAGAAGGGAGCAACCGTAGAGTTGCAGGTATCCCAACGCTAAACACTATATGTAGAGCTAACCTACTGAAAGGCTGGGAAGCCTCTGCTGAACCACAGGCCACTAAACGTCACCATGGCCCTCCTTTTTTCTGGTTTAGGATTTAGGGTTTAGGGTTCCATGCAAATTAATCCTACCCCCGGACCCACCAGCTGACCCACAAAACCCGAAATTCCAAGCCTTAAATTCTACACCCCAAACTCCACAAAGCCATTTAACCCTTAAGCTCCAAGCCCGAAACCCTGAAATCATAAGCCGCAGCCCAGAACCATTACGAAACTCAATGCCCGAAACCGGGTTTAGGGTTTAGGGCCGCAAAGCCCTAAATCTTAGGCCCTTATTCTGAACGCTCAAACCTGGAACCCTGAACTCTAGGACTTAAGGCTTAAGAGGTATAAAGTTTTAGGGTTTAGGGTTTAGGGTCTAGAGTTTAGGGTTTAAGGTACATGTCCTGCTTCATTTTCTGGCTTGACGATTCTGGACTGTGACACCCTGATTGTGTAGGAGTGATAGAAGTGGGTTATATACGGGCTATCTACAGGTTGTGATTAATTGGGTTCCCCAGTAACCCATTAATAATAAGGGTACCCTTTTCTGATATTCATCTTTACCGAGGAGACCCCAAAGTAAAAAGGGACAAATGATACTGTTGGGGGTACCTTGTAGGGTATAATCCTTATCGCCAGAAGGGTACTTCAGGAAACCCCTTATATGTAAGTTATAAAGCCCCAAACCATAAACCCTAAACCCTAAACTCTGACCCCTAAACCTGTACACCCTAAACACAAACTGAAGCTGCCTGGAAGCGCCAGGGTTCTCCGGCACCAAGCAGAGTCGCCTAGGGACTTCTCGCAATGGAGGTTCTGGGGTTTGGCGGGATTAGAGGTTTAGGGGTTGAGAGGTTTGGGAGTGTAGAGGTTTAGGGGTTTGGGGTCTAGAGCTGTAGAGGTTTAAGGGTTTAGGGATGTTTAGGGGTTTACAGATTAAGGGTTTGGAGCTTCGGGGTTAGGATTTTCGTATCCCCTATTGCATCTTTCTGCCCATCCCTTTCTTAAAGGGCTGGTTGGCTAGGCTCATTTTAGGATTACGACTTGGGGTGGAGGATTGTTTTGGGATTGGCCCTAAACCCTTTAACCCTAAGCCCCTAAACCCTAACCCTTACCCTCAACCCGAAACCCTAAACCTGTGAACCCTAAACCCTAAACACTTAGTCACTTAAACCCTACACCTTTTTACACTAAACCCCATTCTAAACATCGTCATGCCTGGCCTCCGTCTTCTTTGCTCTTGGATCCGGCGGCTCCTGGTACTCGTTGCCTTGGAGCTTCCGCTGTGGATTTAGCATGACGCCTTGACTTTAAGTGCACACCTAAGATGCAGAAAGTACTGTTGACACTCAAAATCATGCATGACCTCAATGTACTGTAAAGTCATAATTTTCCAGATATAAGGTGCTTAAGGTCATGCAGGCTCTTTAATTTGACGGTAGTGTTGCTCATCCAGGGGGTAAGTATCTAAATCACACAGGAGGGAGGGTACAATTGTTCATTGGAATATGGCGGCTGTGGGCTTCCAGGGAAGTTGACTGCACCAGACATCGCGAAGTTTGCCTGAAACTGGTTGCTGCCACACGAGCCATGGTCTGAACTCCTAATATACCGCTTAAGAACCCCTATCATAGGACCCCTACATACTGCCTATATAACCCCTTTAAAGAGTTTAGACTATAGCTCATGTCTTGACGGCGCTTTGCCGCTGCCTTTGGCGGAGTAGTCCAAGAGCTTATGAGCCAAGGTATCTTCAAAGATCTTGGGGCCAGGATCTCCCTTGGCGAATTTGAGGGTTGAGGGTTTAGGGTTTAAGGGTGTAGGGCTTGGTGTTTAGGGTTTAAGGTTTAGGGTTTAAGGTTGGGGGTTTAGGGTTGTTTCAGGTGGAATTGCGAGGGAACGCACCAGCAGTTCTGTTCTGTATTTATTGAGATAATGGCCCCCATAAGTACAGGAATCAAGGCTACTGTATTGCTTTG